GATTTTGGAGGAGGTTGCGTTGGAACTTGGGGAGAGGGGCCTGGACACAATTTTTTCAAATTATAGGGGCTGCAGCACATTAGGGTAAGTTGGGGGGCTGGAGCACATCGAAACTTGAATTTTAGGGCCTTGAAGCAATTTTTCCTAGTTAGTAAGCTATTTTCTATAAAATAACATCCAACCAAACAAAAGAAAAAAAAACAACAACAACATATTTTCTATAAAATTAGAAACTTTTTCATACTTTGAATCAAACAAAGAAATAAAAAATAAATAAATAAATGTGATACTCTTTAAATTTTATAAATTTTTACTACAAATTTTATAGAAAAAAAAAATATTGAGTACTTTTCTTTTTCCTCCAAAGAATAAACGGGTACGAAGATTTCACTATATTGTGGAAGATATTGTCTTTGCCTTTACAACGACAAGTTGGCGATCATGGCTTTGATTTCTCTCTCGCAATTTAGGTAAAATTGTTTGATTATGATCATGTTGCGATTGCTTGGAGATCACACCAAATCTCTTCCATGCTTTAAAAAGAGAAAGTAGTGTGGACATTGTATGTACGGGAGTAGACAAAGCTAATCAAAAAGATTTTATAAGGAGGGGACCGTGATGATTCTCTCGGTGGCCAACTCAAAAAAGACATACATGCATGAACCATTTATGTTCAATGTATTAATTTTCGATAAACTTAGAAATGATTCAGTTTAGTTTTAATCCAATTACACTACCTTAGATTAGACTAAACTAGCTAGTAGGTTCTATGTGAACTAGCTTTGAGTTGAACTTAGTTCGTAATTATTTTAACAAATTAAACTTGGCCTAGAACTAAACAATATTTGGTAAATGCACATAATGCATAAAGATAGAGTTCCGATTTGATAAAGAAATATGTTTATCTTTGTTAATCCGCTTGATAATGGCAATATACATTCCTTTTTCCTTTCCTTTTCTTTTTTCGTACCAAACTTATCTAGTTCTACTTCAAATCAGAAGACCCTTGGTTTTAATTTCTTTTGGCCTAGTTATGAGCCAAAATTGGGTCGAATAAGAACTAGTTTAGCGTAGCAATTTCATTTGCCAAACTAGACTGAATTATTAGAGCTAGCTTATTTTAGATAAAACCAATCTTAGCATTTTGCCAAACTCACCCTTACTTTCTCTTAATGCATTATTAATATGCTAGTATTCATCCTGTGCTAAGCACGGTGTCCTTACAACTTTTTTTTGTGAGCAAATTTTTTTCCCATCTCATTTTTTTATTTCGTCATGTGGAATTTGTCTTAAAATTATATAATAGCTTATAAAAATAGCAACATGTGCTAGTAATTACTTATTTAAGGAATATGTTAGATATTATGTTCAATTATACTAATATTTTTAATGCACTAACGATGTCATAATACATTATAGGATATTAGTGTGATATTGTAACCAAGTTATATGTTGGTAATTCATCATAAGGCTGCATTCCATAATTAAACACAGAAACATAGATAGTTAAAAATATGAAATAACTAAATGTTTCTCAAGATTTGTAGTTTTTCTTCAATGAAGTCCTTTAGTCCTGAGTGGCTAGATCCCTGATTATAAATTTCTTACTTATCTCTTCAAGTAACATCCATAGTTGTGAAGTTCAACATTATGGGTTTGGTGTTCTTTTTTAACCTGACAATTGGGATATATGCTTGGAGATCAGTATCATAAAAAATAGATAGGCATAATCCATTATTTATTGATAATATGACAACTCAATTCAACGTCAGATAACAATATAACAAAAATAGATAGGCATAGTCCAAGCATCCATGAACAATTTAACAACTTATCTCAATATTTATGAACGATACAAAGAGCAACCCAAAAGAACTCAATTCAACATTTATGGACAATAAAAAAAGGGATTTGGATTCTCTCCACTACAAAAAAAACAGTGGAGAGACCACTGTTTTTAATCTCAATCGTTAATTATTTAATAGGCGGTTATGATACAATCTAAATCTAATACTTACCATACCCCCGTGTATTGCACTCATTCCTAATTTGCACTAAGAGAAAAAATCACAACCATTAACTAGATAATCAATGGTCGTGATTATGTAGTGGTCCCTCCACTGTTTTTTTTGTAGTGGAGAAGATCCGAATCCTAAAAAAAGATTGTCATAATCCAGTATTTATGGACACTATAACAACTCAAGTCAACACGAGAAGCTTCATAGAATAAGATCCTACGTCAGTCCTTTGAAACGTTGCACTGCAAAATAAATACATAATAAGGCAATTAGTTTAAATCAAATGAGATCATCACATTTTCTCCGAAGCACTGTTAAAAAACCCATTAATTATCAGGTTTCAGTTTTATTTTGGTACTTCAACGCTTATTTTCAATATGATTTTACCCCATTTATAATAACAGGGGATACTGGCCGGATTGTTTTCTTGAACACCATGAAATCTTTATTTACTATCAATTGCTGAGTAGAAAATTTTATAATAATCAAAATGCTTGGATGAGAGATTGCTCCATGAATTATTCAATTGCTTGTGGAAGTGATCAGTGGCTATTGTTGAAGTTTAAATGTACTTGTCCATCAGCTCTAATGTTATTAACATCATTAAATTTCACATTGTAAAATAAGGGAAATTAAGGAATGCCCCCTAACAAATTTTGTCTATTTGTCATTACTTAAGCATTATTTAGAACATGTTATATCTAGAATCATTTTTCACATGAGATGTATTCGTGATTTATACTACTCCCTGAATATTCACGTGTCTTTAACTGCAATAAATCTGGGGTATCTTACTAAAATACACCTGTCATTTACTTCATTCTTAATTTGTGAACATTACTCCGCACTAGGGGTGGTAAACGATCGAATCGAATCGAATACTAAGATGTTCGTATTTGTATTTGTTTAAAATTATCGAATTCGAATACGGACTCTAATATTCATATATCTAGTTTTTCGAATTTGAACTCGAATACTTGGTATTTGATAAATATTCATGAATATTCACGAATACTTATCGAATATTAGAGTATATTTATTTTGCTAAAAATTTTGATTTTCAAATAATATTAAAATTCATAAATAAAAATTATTCCTTTTTAATATATGATGTATATATATTTAAATCAAAATTTTAATTAGAAAGTAGATTTAAGATTATTTTAGACTTAAAATCAGTATATAAAAGTTAAGTAGAAATGGTAAGTGAATTAAAAATATGACATCATATGTGCAATAATACAAATAATAAGCTGTGATTAAATTTTAAACGAATATTTAATAAACAAACGAATCGAATATACATCTGGTTAAATTCTATTCGTTAGTAAACTCGAATACTAAAAAATATTTGTTTAGTGGTAAATGAACTACCGAATCGAATATGATCGAATAGTTATTCGAACAATTATCGAACTATTTGTTAATTATTTGGTTCATTTCCACCCTAACTCCGCACACCCAACGTATAAACATCTATATATATTCTCGACTTTTCTCCCAAAAATTCTGCCAAAAAGGATTTATAGCAGTAATTTTTTACATTGCATATTTGTAGCTATGATTATGGTATAAATAAGAATATATAGAATGTTATTTACCTAAAGATAACTCTGAAGATTATAGCTAAGTTTAATCAGGAAGTTGAACAGAGTTTTAAAATTGGTTCAATAATCTAATTGCGGGATTATAAACAGAAATTAGAACGTCTGTTACCAAAAAAATGTAACAAAAACAAACGTAAAAGGCCAGAAAGCCTATATCATGCCATTACTGGGGAATTATCGTTTATAATTTAATTTCAGAATATGACGAATAACAGAGTGCAAGGTAATTTATATTTATACTGCAAGTAAATATTGTATACACAGATAATTTGGAAGCGAGCACAATGAAATCGTTCATATTGATCAACAGTTATTATGAAAAAAATGCAATAACATTTGATTGAGAATTGGAAAAGCAAATTACAAATCTCTGATAAAACCATGTGCGGAAGTTGAGAGGACTCATACTAAAGTGGTTGTTTAGCGGGGTAATAGATAATAAAAATGTAAGGAGATATGTGGATAATGAAAAATTTCATTCTTCACCATCAGGTTTTCCTTTAGTTATAAAAGGAAAGTAGATTAGATAACAACGCCTCGTTTGATTCATGGGAATGAGTGTGGGAGTGAAATACAATTTTAACTTCTCATTTTTACTTACCGAACACGATGTGTTCTCATCAATTCCCACTTAAAGTGGGAATTACTATTCCTAATGAGTTATCAAGGAATTGATATGCTCACTTAAGTGAGGATGACAATAAAGAAAACTTATGATATACCCTTCTTAAAGATATTTCCAATTAATTCTCTAATTGCACCCAAACATGAGAATGAGAATGAACATTTCATTCTCATATCAATTCCATATCGTTCCATTCTCACTTGATTCCATTCTCACGTACCAAATGAGATGCAATAGTCAAGTGGAAACAATATTACCCATTAGTTTTTACTCGAAGAAGAAATACTTAGTTTTTACTCGAAGAATAAATACTTTTTCAACGATGATGCATTTTTGTTTCCTTAGTTTGAACGACAATGTACATTTCTTGGAGACCTTTTTCAAATTTAGCTAATTAGAGGAATTGACTACAAGTTAAAAAGATCCATTCTTTATTTTTTTTAAAAAAGAAAACAAAAATAAAGATTACAAGTTTCCACACAAAGCAGATGGATGAAATGATGATGCATTAGTTTTCTGAATAAGTTAATGTTGATTTCAGTTCTTATCATTTGCAGACATCCAATAAAAAAATTAAATTAAATTAAAAAAAAGCTGTTTGGAACCTTAATTTTCAAAATATCCAAAACTCATCCATATAAACTCACCAGTACCAACTGCAGTAACCATTATAAATAATAGTTTTTATTAAATAATGAACACCTCTCTTTGCTATTAAAAAGAAACCAGACAAACATATACAACAGTATATGAAGATCAAAACATGTAATTTTATGCTACAAACCAGACACAAACAGTCAAGAGGCACCTGACATAGAGAGTAAGCCAATGTGATGGGGGGAAATACACTTGATTACATGCATAATTACAGTAAAATGTTGACAAGATTTCGGTATTACAAGATCACCTCTCAGAGAAAAAAGAAAAGGAAAAAAAAAATCTACGGAAGCACAGCGAGAACAGCAATTCCCTGATGATTTAGAAGTAACATGAGTTGTATGTGTTCAGGTTTCTGATAACAGTAGAAACTGTAATGCACTTTCGTCAGTATCCACATATAGAATCAGACACCAGAAAACCTGTAAAAAATACAAAGATGAGCTTAAGTTAAGCTTCAGAGATTACAAGAGCAAAGAAGTGGTAGATATTACAAGTATTTCCTAAGTGACAGAATAGAAGTTCTCTATAATTATGGTTGTGCTGAGCGAGACATTAGCATCCAGAAGTTTCGCATTGTATTGCAAGCTTACCAAGGCTCAAGCCAAATTGACAAAAAAATTATTTCAGGTTAGCTCAAATTTGAAAACTACATTGGATTCCAGGTTTTAATCCACATAACAACCTTCCAAATTTGTGTCTATTTATCAAAAGCCATATTCAAACTTTGTCTCAGGCTTCAAAATTACATCAAATGATACAAATTTTGATTCTGAATATTAGTTACAGTGGAAGTGAAAGAAATACAAAACTGACATTGCTGCAGAGACAGTGGTACGTGTATATATATCAAACCACTATAACATTTATTAAGAGTATTTATTTTTTATATGAGGTTCCAAGCTGGCACCTAGTCTCAATAACTGACAAGTAACGGTTATAAAACTTCTACTGTATTATACACAGTTAAACAGAAAGGGAAATGATCGCCTCACCAGATTCTACCTTCACTTATGGGAGCCGAGATGAGGGAACAAACCAAGCACATGTTCTGGCATAAAGTCATGCCGAGTAAGAATACCAACAATTGGAGGCCTCTGCAAACCAAGATATATCAGTCTTATGACTAAGAAGATTGAAACATATCATCACAGACAAAAAGTCATCGAGCCCAATATGGCTCCCACGGTCGTGGGTTCGATTCGGGGTTGGGTTATTTAAAAAAAAGTCATCAAGCGCACAAAGTTCAAGTAGATGATATAATTCTAGAAGAGCTAGTAATACGAAATTTCGCCAAATCTAATATTTTGTGTGTGCACTCCAAAAAACAGTGTCTGAAGCTATTTCTCAAAAGAGTGAAAAATGCACAACTTCTGTCGATTGGTTGCAGGCTAGTTGAGTTACTGAAATTCATCATTTTGCTATTAGTATTGCTCCTGATTGATGAAGATGGAATATTCTACAGTTTTTTCTGTAAATTGAGATATCCCTTTTTAATTGTGGTTACTTGTGTTTCGATTGTTCAAATCTGCATTAAGATAAACATTTTGATGCCGACTTTATGGTTTTCTGCAATTAAAGTGACTAGAATTCTCTTTATTGACTCGAGTTCAATGCCAATCAAGAATCTTTGTTCTATAAGTTCCCTTGGGTGTGTGCATGAGCTGGCCCACGTTGCTAGAATTCTTACCCCTGGAGTCTTTGGTACAACACAGAGATGTCTGAGTCCAAGCTGCCGAAAAAGAACTGCAGCCTTGGCTAACGACATTGTCTCGACCACAGTATATGGCGATGTGTTGGTAATCGGATGTAAATCAACAAACATCTCCATCTCCTCTTCTCGAATATCCAAGTCTTCTAATTTCACCCCCTTCCCTGATCCTGCCTTTGCAAAATCATAGGCATCAAACCTCTGCAAAACTGCCGATACCCCAGTGGCCACCCTCTCCTTCATAAAATTCTTCCCTTTAAGTAACACAAGCAAATGAGACCTCAACACCAGCCCACAAAGTTCCGGTGCATCTGAAAAAGGAGGCTCATCAACCACCGGGAATCCATTATGGCCTGTTAACTTTAATGCATGCATTATATTGCCTACCCTCTCGATTCCCGAAAAAGAAATGAGAGGTCCAGAGACCACATCACCAGCAACCAAATTTCTCATATAGGGCTCTGCGTGAGCCTCCATAAACGGCAAACCCTTCATTGCAATAATTTGATCATAGACCCCCTTGTTGAAGCTATCGGCTACACTTTTGGAGATGAGAAGGACAAGCATAACCAGAGGGAGCATTGGAAGATCATTGGTAAGCTCTAATAGAATAACGCACACAGAGACGGTCATTCTCATCGTCCCACCAAGAAACGATGCTGCTCCAAGAAGGGCAAAGAGACCCGCATCTAGGTTAGCTACAGAGCCTAAAAGAGTCCCTACCATTCGCCCATATGAAGCACCGGCAAGTATAACAGGGACAAAAAGACCGGAAGGAACAGCAACCCCATAAGTTATGAGACCAAGGGAATAAATAGCGATAAAAAAGACAAAGAGGGTGGAGATGTGAAACTCATTCCCAGTACCACCACTGAAGAGGTTTCTGATTGCATCGTCGTTGGTGTTGAGGAAGAGGGAGGCAAGGTCATTGTAGTGACCCGGTGGGCACTGAAAATTCTTGAAGTTGCCAGATCGACCAATTGTGGGACACTGCTCTTTAAGGTTCTCAGGACATGGAGTGCACCTGGCAAGCCAAGGAAGTCCATAGGAGCAGCATGATGTGAGAAGAGAGATGCTGACTGTGAGAAGGATCTTAAATGGAGGGCCCTTCCTGCAGTTAATTAGATGTATCAACATCAAAGGAAATAGGAAATCAAGAGGGGATGAAGAGTTTGCATTCCCCTCAGAATGCCCTGCTTGCAGCCGCACAATGACTTGGAAGGGGCCAGTTTTGGCATTTCATGCCCCCCATGTGCAGCTGAGAACATCCTGTTCGCATGCAGGACATTCTAGGAGCATGTGTAGTCGGGAATGGATACACCTAACCTAACACGAATCTAGATGCACACGTCACTTTTAGCTATCCATTCAATCAATAGTGCCTATTAATGCAATTTCTATCAGTGCAGTCTGCATTAATAGTGCAGTCTGCATTAATAGGTAGTAGTGACTGCACTATAGCTGATTATGATGTGTACATCAAGGTTCATGTAAGTGAGGTGTCTTCATTTCTATATGATTTTCTATAGAGGGTCCTCCATAGGTTTTTCTTTTACAAAGATATATAGTCATAATTGATCATCAAGAGAACCTCATATATCATCACAAAAAGTTAGTGAAACATACTCATTAATGATGCTGTAAACCCGTAGGATCCTGTCCAAGAGAAAGTTGTAGAGGCCTCCAAATATACCTCCAATTATTCCAAGAACTATAATTACTAGCAGGTCAGCGGTGCTATATGTAGCAACAGTCGAGCTAAGGTCAAACATAATCAATCCTCCTTCTCCGAAGAGTCCACAATTTCCCCCACGACAGTAAGATATTAGGCTTCTTAGTAATACTGAAACTACAGCTGTTGTGAAAAATGTTCGCCAAAGAAGAGCACTTCTCCACCTGATAATTTATAAAAAAATAGTGAACTTCCAAAACGAGACTGCTTTTAAGCCCAACAAAATTTTGAATGACATTGGTTCAAGAATTAGCTCTTCCACTTTTAGCTCTATGTCCAGTTATGCTTCTTGCATGACATGTATTCATGAAATTAAGATGAAATTTTTGCTCATTTTTCATCAGTTTGTATACTTAATAGTGCATGTATACAATCTACACAGGTTACTGGATTCTTTCCAGCTAGCTGATTTATACATGTCAAGAGCTCCACACAATATGGCATAATTTCCAAAAACTATGATATGTCTGCAAAAAAGATTTCCTCAAATGATTTACACCCGTCAAGATTAACCTATAACTATACTCTCGTCCACTGAGTACCATGTTTGAGTAATTATAGTTCATCACAAAAGTTATGAAAAAGAGACACAAAAGTTAGCGAGAAAATCACCAAGATGCTGCTTCCTCAAGAGCAAAAAGAACACCTCCAACAGGAGCTCGAAAAGCAGCTGCTACACCTGCAGCAGCTCCACAGGTGATCAAGTCTCTTCGGTCTCGATCATTTTTGAAGAATCTAAGCCATTTCCATGTCAAGTGGTACTTCCGTGACCCACCTTGACCAAGTAAGGAGGCAATGCATGCTCCTGTATGAACCATGGGCCCCTCTTTACCCAATACAAATCCAGCAGAAACTCCACAAATTGAACCAACTATCTGCAGATTAGCGCAACATATACAAGAGAATATAGAACGTAATTTTCATGTTATGTAGTAATTTAATGAAACATTGTTTGTAAAGGTTTGTCATCCAATGCTGTCTTAAGAGAAACTAAAATGAGAAAATATTGGCTGAAAGTTTTTGAAGGAAGTTTAATTTAGGAATATCCTCATGGTCAATAGAGCAAAAGAAAAATTCATGTTTGGTCCTTGAAGAAGGAAAGTTGACGTATGAATAAGAATGATTGCTTCACTGAAATATATAAAATAACAATTCTAATCTTAAGGAGACAGTTGTAGAAGAGAATTTTCTGATATTTGGTTGCTTTGGTATAAAGCACACGGAAAATTTGGTATTTGAATTATCTGATGATAACGAGTCAAGCCATCAGAGAATTTCCTACAGATCCATGACTTATATTTGAAGATTTTTTTTTTCCTTCCTGCCAGAAATTCAAGTGCATGGGAAGTTTTAGAGACCACCTATTGCAGGTCTGCCAAATTAATCCTCGATGACGCACGTAACTAGCTAACAAATAGAGAAATGTAAGCTAAATTTTTGAACGTCCTTGTGATTTCATTTATTAATCTTAATTAATATTTTCTCCCATTTTTTAAGGCTGTCTATGTAAGAAGATCTATATACCATATTTCTTCATTCCCTATAGAATGTTATGTTGGTTTGTCATTGTTCCTAAATAGCATAGAAAAATCTTTGAGAAACGCGTGGATCATCATATCTTTATTCTTTATCTCCTAATCTGGATGCAAGTTGGGAGTTAGATCATTATTACTGTCATTTATATTTCAATTTTAAGACATGAAAAGATTGAAGAACAAACGAGTTACCTTTACAAAAAGAGTACTGGGTGCTAAAATAGAGTGAGCATCAACTCCATTGAGATAAGCTTTCACTTCAGGTATACCAGATCCAGCTGCAGCAGGTGCAATATAAGCACAAACTGCAGCAGCTGCCGCTGCTAAAATAAGATTGCAACCAGCAAAAGCCCCGAAACCTAATAAGTACCTGTACTGGAACCAGAACACCTGGCATTATTTTGAGTTTTAGCAAAATGTTTCTTTTTCACTCTTTCGAGAGAATGCAGACCGTTCATGTGAACAGGTAAAAATTTCATATCATATATAGATGTCCAAAAATCTAAAGTGTTCATATTTCAAGTTTTTAATCCAAAAATGAAATTTACAATTGCTATGGAAGGCAACTGTTTCAGATATTAGCATTACTAGAAAACTTGGGTCAAAATTACTTACAACTACAACGACACTAGAGTGAACGACTCATTAACTTTTAACTCAATGTATCATATATCCATAGAATCTGGGTCACAGTGGAACTAATTACTCACTTTTTGCCTGCTCGTGGAACATCAATGAAAACAAGGAAGAAAAAACTACAATCATACTGAAAGACTCTGGTCACATATCTTGATCATTTAAGTTCTGACAAAAGGAAGATGGAACTATTTTTATTATTTTGAACACATCCAAATCTTCTTTCTAGAAAAAAATAATCTGTCGTATTTTTCTTGCTATGTTTTCTTATACCATCAGCTTTAATTCTCCCTTAGATAAAACTAGCTCTTTGCAGTCACTTACACTTCCAAATCCTAACTTATATATTGCATGGTAGTGACCAATATACATACTGGATCACAACTGATCCACCTGAAGCTGCAATTTCAGGAAAAATATCACTTCATATTTTCCTGAGGTGAAACATAGAGTTTACCTATGCTCAAGCATAAGATCACTTGTTAGCAACAACTTGAATCCTGCAATATTCTCAACTGCAAGGTTGTTGAAGAAGCCAACGAGTCCGGTACCTAAGCCTATAAGTAGTGCAAGAGTCCATTTAAGGACTATGTACTGAAATATCTGCACTCTTTTCCTTGACCTCCAGTCTTGCTTAAATAGTTCATTCTCCACAACCCTGAGAAAGAAATACGAGGGGAACATAAACAAACATTCAAATGGAAAACAAATAAGATTAAAGAAAAGAAGACATCAACTCTAAGACATGGGGGGAAAAAGAAGGGGGAAAAAAAAGAAGAATACGCATGCTAAGGATACATAACTAAAATAAGACTTATCATTTTGACATCAAAGCTTAACAAATTAAGTCTTGGTCCTCAGTTAGTGATACGGGTGTATCTTCTTCCTTGCTTCGGGAGCTTAGCGATCCTCATGGGAGCTTGAGGATAGATGATTATCTTCTTCCTTGCTTCGGGAGCTTAGCGATCCTCATGGGAGCTTGAGGATAGATGATTCTTATGGTATCTTGAGAATAGAGACTTCGGGAGCTTAGCGATCCTCATGGGAGCTTGAGGATAGATGATTCTTATGGTATCTTGAGAATAGAGACGTGGACAAAGTCGTTGAAGGCGGCAACGTTGAAGAGTACAGGAAAGCTGCAGGAAACACTTTGGATTTCCAGCGGTCGATCGCACATGACACCGCGGTAAACCGCGAACGTGCACAGCTTAGGAAAAGTCTCTGGACTTTTCGCGGTCGACCGCGACGAACTCTGCGGTCGACCGCCAAACCCTGTAGTTGATACTGAGTTTCGATTGTTTACCACGGTCGACCGCTATGGGTTCTGCGGTCGACCGCGATGCGGTTTTGGGCCTGGACTTGGTTTCCTGTACTATTTAGGTTTTTTGTTTGATTTAAATAGAAACACGATTTTTCTAGGGTTATCTATCTAGATTGTAATAAAAAACGAGATCAGGGAGTTTGTTCTTTGATCTAGAGAGATTGTGAGAGAGAGTTTTGTAATTTATTATTTCTCATAATCTAGAGAATGTATTTTCTTTCGCTCAACTCAATTATTTGTGTGTTTTCTATTGTCTTCTTCACAACCCACTCTTGATAATTCCGCGATCAATGGTGCTCGTCAGGTGACTCGTATCAGTTAGATATCAAATCATTGCAATACTATATTTTTTCCCCTAATGTGGGACTAAATTTACAAACTCAAACTCTGGAAATACTGCTGTCTCCTTAACTGAATGCTTCAACTATGTGATAAAACTATGTCCTACATGCCTTACGCCTAGTACGTCTCTTGGATATAACATTTACAATCATGCTCAATTTTAAGTTAATATAGTGTAAAGATAACAAGAAAAATAAAATGCTTTTATTTTGAGGAAATAGCAGCATAAGGACAGCTTGATTTATTTACACGCTCTGTAACATGAAATATTCCAAAATACTGTAAAAAAAATGTTTCTCCAGTTTTCACCATGCACCCTGAAACCTTAGGACTGATAGCTCTGGAATTCTAGACAAGAATAACAATTAGAGTTTAAGCTTTAGAAGTATCTAATTTCCTAAATTTTGATAAAACGAGTTTCAACTTTTACCGATCATGGGAAATTCATGAGCAACCTTTATTGCTTGCAAGTCATCATTTTGGCATCCCCACTAACATGACGGGATGCTTCTATCAAATAATAAAATTATAATTGTGAATATCATGCAAGTGATTTTAAGTCAGATTCAGATCAAAACTTTGGCAGCAATAATTGAGACACTCCACAAGAGTATCAATTACATAAGCGAAAATATATTAGCTTATTCCTCAATTAAACATCTCAAAAGCACGCACCAATAATAAACACCCCTTTGTTTTCAGATCAAGGATGGGATCAACCACTGCATAGAAGAAAATTTATGATTTCAAGCTCTTGAGTTCTTTCTTGCTATCCCCAATTAATGGGAGCCCGGGAATAGCAGAAACAGTTCAGTTTTCAGAAAGGATTTGTGAAAGAAATATCCTTATTTAGCTTATCCCTATTGATTCAAAAATAAGAAGATCAGCAACTAGATCAACAGACCATCAGACGATAGAAAGCTTACTCATAATCCAAGGTCTCAATGGGGCAAACATTGGCTCCAACAACAGCAATCTGAGATGTAGTGTTCATGGTCCTCTTCCTGAGCAGCAAAGGCTCTCGAAGCGGGATTACATCCTTATCATCAACAAAACCCGATCCATGTCTCTCCATCTCTCCATTCATATTCTCGATATCACTTCCATCCATTTTCTGCTTCTTCTATGGATAACACCGGCAACAATAAGTATGAATAAATGTAGCAAAATAAATACAGCAATAACAAGAGTCTGTGTGCATTAATGTCAAAAGGACTAGACTAAGGAACCATGGGAAGTTGTTTTAGTGGTTCAAGAAGTTGGCAGTTGACATGGAGGTTTCTGGAGTGGCTGTTGCCAAGATATTCAATCCCTCACACAAGCTAGTGGGGCCGGACTTGGCCAAATACTGAAAGTCACCTGGCAAATTTGTGGCCCATTCTTGACAATTTATACGAGAGGAATGCAGACGTGCTCCCAAGACTACTATACCCATGACCGGCAACAAAAAGGAACTAATATTGCTAGGCCATCTTGGTTTGGGTTAACAACGGACGGACCCCCTATACTATTGCCCAATCGCAGATAGACCCATTATAGTTCTATGGTTGCAAATAGGCCCACGGAGTGAAATTTTCTTGTGTCTTCTATCATCACGAGGTTTATTTTTCAAAAAAAATATTCTTTTGTCAAACAAACCTCCTGATGATAAAAGAGACAAAAATATTTCACTTAAAGGGTCTACATACAACAGTAAACTATAAGTCGTCCATCCGCAATTGGGCGACACTACAAACGGTCTATCCGCAATCGATCCTTTGGGTTTTTGGTTACTGCATTAAGCAAACCTGTTCACTGAAATAAATAGATAAACCTATCATTTGACCCCCAAAAAGACACTATTCTTTGGGTATAATAACAAGTGCCATTGTTAAACTTATCCTGCCCACTTTTCTCTTTAAAAAAATAGCAACCTTGTACTTTATTTAGAACGGCATGAAGCTATTCAAGGATAACTATGTCCAAGAGAGTTTTGACAATGATAAGCAAAGAAAGTTATACTTTGACATGAAATTAGTATTTGGCTAGAATAAGTTCTAAAGCAATTCTGTCGCTTAGCAGGACATCAAAGATTATTATTTGTCCCAGTGCACATCGCATGTGAATAAGCTTTAATCAAGCTCAAGGCACGGGGGATCTTTCCTAAACAAATCAACTAGTTTTGACGGGTCATGCGCCTTTGCAATCTGAACTAATCATCTCTCCCTAATACAAAAGGAATACGTAAATAAGAGATACTGAGCTGTATGTGCCTTGTCTTTATCGGATCCAAGAAATTGGATTCCTAAGTTTTGGTGTTTGACTTCAAATAATGTACATGAAGTGCTTATTTAATTGAAAAGATCCAAAAGGAACTTATTTGCGAAGGTACCAATTAGTAAACTTTATTAAGCAGATAATGGAAGAAAAAAAGATCTA